TTCGCCAGGACCATTTTCCGTTTCTGGTTATGTTGGGGCCATCGTGAGGCTTCAGAGGATCGTCTCTGTATGCGCCCTATTCCTCCTTTCCTTTCCTTTACCTACCACGGTCTCTGCTCAGATATTCATGCTTCGGAGAGAGGGCTCCACCCTTCGGGTAAAAGACTTTTTCATCATCGCCATCCTATAGGAACCTGGGCTGGATCGCCTCTCTGATTCTTTATTCCACAAGTTAGCACCCCTCTCATTCGCTGTCCACGCTCAGTGTCTTCGCGCTGCGGGGGGGCTGGTCTTCATTCCAAATCATGCAACCTCCGCCGCCTGTACACGAATCCCTCCTCCGCCTGCTACCACAACGGCCGCAGCACGACCTTGAAGCATTCATCGGGGCCGGCATCATCTCGCCTGGCCGGCCCCGTGGCGGACCACCCCATGGCGGCGACGCCTGGCTTTGCGTCTCTCCTCCTCCTTTTCCTGGTGAAGTGCTTGGGGCGACTCGTGCTCCGCCCTGCCCTCACGAGGATGCCTTCGCCTTGGGCGACCCCCGTCCCGCTCCCCCTGTCCGAGACAGGGCTCGTGCCTTCGGACACGGCCGTCGCGCCAGGACCCGTGGACCGGCGATGCGAGATGTGTCGAGCTTCGGCTTGGATGCTATGGATCTCGCAAGCCTCAGTCAGATCAGAGCACGAGAAGCCCCAGGCGCCGCTTTTGAAGTGCCCTCGGGTTGCTACTTGCACTGCGAGACGGCGTGCCCTCGCTAGTCAGACTGTGTAGGCGGCGTTCCAAGAAGCCGCCCTTCTCCATGATGACCGCACGAAGGGACTACATGCCGTCGACGCTCAGCTGGGCCATGATCGCCAGATCCACTCCTAGACTGCTACTAATGCCGAGCATGCTGTTCCTCAGGCAGGACACCTTCACGAGGAGTTCGGCGTCGTGCACGCCGAGGTGCCCACCCTGGGATTGGGGCTTAACCGGCTCCGCAGTGCGACAGAGGCGCACGTTGCTGCAGTGGAAGCACGACTCAATAGTTTTGTCTCCATCGTCCATGGCACAGCAGCCAAAGTCCAGGAGCAGTTGTCTGCTCTTCAAGATGTGTTACAACATCTGTTGCCACCCCGTGCTCTGAGGCAACAGGTACTGGTACCCAGCAGGATCATTATGGCAAAGTGGATTCTGCTCAGAATGATGTCGAAACACATCTCCATCCAGACCTCCCACTTAGCCAGCCTCCTTGTTTTGACCTCCAAGGTTCGAGGGATTGAACAGGAAATCAGCGATATTCGTGTTGTACGGGGCTCGACTGGCCAGCGATCTACCACTTCAGTTAACGATTTCGTCCTCATGGTGTTTGAAATTCAGACCATGGGAGTGACTACGGACCACACGCAAGCTCGAATTGACCAAGTCTTGCGCGACCGCGTCGCCAAACAGCTGTGGGTCGACTCGGAGGTCCGTGTGGAGCATCAGACAAGGGAGGCAACCCGCTTACTCTCTTCGATCCAGTCGCCCTCTCCTCACGATGGTCGGCAACATGCCCTGCAGACAGCACTCCACAAATATTCCTACCATGGATGCTGATGTGACATGCCTCGAGCAATGCGCTGGGCAACTTCAACAGGATGCTGCGCAGCACACCCCGGAGCTGTCTGCGCACGCACAAGACAACAAAAAAAAACGTGCACCGTTCTGCGGGCACTTCGGTGCCCTGCGGGGGGGCCTCTCCCTGGCTCGCTTGGGGGCGCCCAGGCGGCGCTCCCTGGCTCGCTCGGGGGGCGCCCAGGCGGCGCCAGGCCTTGACCTTTTGCGGCACGTCGCGTCTCCCCTATCTGGGTGGCCAGTGCACGCCGACCACGCTAGTCATCGCACTCATTCGCCCGTACCTTTCTGATCTGCTGCGGTGCAGACTCGTTGCGCTGTAGGCAGCGCGCCCGTCCACCAGAAGGCCCCGAAAGAAGAAGGGAAGGTCGAGTCGCCCACGCACCTGCTCCGCTGGCGGCACTGGCGCCCTGTCCCGCCCAGGGCGGGGCCGCCCCCACTTCGGCCAGGTCGTTTCAAACGTCGGCTTCCTGTTCCTCGACCAGCACCAGGTGGAGTGATGACTGGCTGCCAGCGCCGCGCCTCGTGGGTACACGAATGCACGGGGATTGCCCCTCTCCGCGTGGTGCCATGGTACCACGTGGAGAGGGACAATCCCCCCGAGGTGGGCCAACGCGAAAGTTCAGTGACTGCGGCCCTCGCCAACCCGCCTAGGTAGGCACTGAGTCCCGCCAGTGGGCATACAAGGCGCCGTCGCATTGCTCCGAATCTTGCTTCGCCCTCCGCCGCGCGGCGTGCCAGACACATGTGCCCTTCGCCTGACGGTCGGTCGTGGTCTCTTCGTAGACGGTCGTAGTCGTAGCGGACTGGCGTGCCAGCCCTTCCTACTTGAGATGCTCTGCCTGCAGCACGCGCTCGCGGCTTTAGACCTTCGCTTGAGATGCGCTTGCGAGAAACGCTCGCGGTCTTTGATTTCGCTAATTCTGTTCGCTTCCGTCCTGTTCACTTACACGCTCCTTCTGCTGCTCGGTATCGCGTGGGAGGCCTTCGCGCTCTTCTGGGTTTCAGAGGGAGGCCCCCTTGGAGAAGAAGGGCTTCGGCAGTTCCCTGCTCGAGGGCTGGCTGCTGGAAGTCAGGGAGGCCTGAGCTCTGGCGCAGTCCCGGAAGCCTGCATCGCCTCTGCCACGCGCGCGCGGCCGGTAATGGGGGCAGGAGTGTCATCGGGGATGTTCTGACCCGGGTCAATCCAGACCCGGGTCAGTCGGGCTTTGCAGGATCCTGCAAGATCTTGCAAGATCCTGCACCCAAACCCGGGTCAATGCGAAAGATCCTGCAAGATCCTGCAGGATCCTGCACCCAAGCCCAGGTCAATGCGACCCTGGCACCGCAGGATCCTGCAAGACCTGGCGCTCTGGCTGACCCCCGTTTGCATTATGCCCCCCGTCACTGAGGCCCCGATGTCAGCGAGTGGGAGAGAACAGCCAATGCAAACCTACGTGGCCTGGTGTGCCGCAGCTTTGGGGCCGCGCTCCCTAGGGGCGGAGGCCCCCGTGCTGCTCTGAGCCGCCGCAGGCCCTGCCGAAGAGCCAGGGGGCGCCGCGGGCTTGGCACAGTTGGGTCTCTGACACGCGTGTCGACTTCGTGGCCCCATCCCCTTCTCTCTCGCCTCCCCTCCCCTCCGCTCCCCCATTCCCCACTCCCCGCCCCTCCCCCATTCCCCTCCTCTCCTCCCTCCTCCCTCCTCCCCGCTCCTCCTCCTCCTCCTCCTCCCCCTCCCCTCCCGCCTCCCCTCCTCGCCTCTCCCTTCCCCTCTCATCTCCTCCCCTCTGTCCATCCCCCTGGACACCCCCTTGTCCCAGAAGCAGTTCACCCCCGTCCCCCCGCCGCCTGCAAGAGGAGGTAGCGGGGAAGAAGGAGGCGGAAGGCCAATAAGTCTTCCCCTCCGCCAGCCGCCCAGAGCCTACAAAAAGCTCGCGTACCCTTTTCGTAGGACCCCCAAACACCCCCCTTGACCCCCCCCTGACTACAGATCCTCCTCCTCCTCCTCCTCCTCCTCCTCCTCCTCCACCTCCTACTCCTCCTCCGTGCCTGTTTCCATTGGCGGTTCGACAGTGCAGCAACGCGTGGGCGCATGCTTGATGGTGAAAGTTTCACACAGTTTGCCATATTGTACTTCGCCTGGCGTTGTCCTCCTTCTGAATCGTTTTCGTCTTCTTCTTCTTCTTCTCTACCTCCTCCTCCTCCTCCTCCTCCTCCTGCGCTTCCTCTTCATTTACTGCGCATGCAATTGATGAGTTCGGCACTTTTCGTATGATCCTTGCTTCGCTAGCCGTGCGCCTTTGAGAGCGGAGTCCGCTCACATTGCGGCGAGTAGTCAGGATCGCGGCCTGCACGGGCAGATTCAGCATGCGGCGACCCAGGCCCATCGGATATGCCACATCGGAGTGCCCCGCTTCTGGAGTGGGGCCTTGACCTGTCTATGTTATGGGTGGCGTCGCCAACGTTAGCAAGATGTGGCAGGCTATGCGGTACCGCGGCACTCCATGTTTCAGCTCATACTTGACAAGCTCGCTGTCTTCGAGTGTGCCGGACGGGACTGGATCAGTCCTCCTCCCTCCTCCCTCCCTTCTTTCCGCCACAGTGTTTCTCTTGCCAGGCTGTTCCAGAGTAGTTTCAAATTATCTGGGTGTGGTGGCGATTCCCACTCAGATGAGAGAAGTTGTTTTGCATTGCAAGTCTTTGGTTTTAGGTGGAGCACCTCCGGAACTAAGTGTAAGCAAAGTAACAGATCACCCTGGCCTCCAGTCTCTCGAGAGCAATTCCGATTGTGGCCTTGGGCCTCGGGAGCCCACTTGTCTGACGAAACCGCCACGATGGGTGCGAACCTTCACGCTGCCCCGTGTCCGCAAGACACGATGTTGTCGCGCCGCTTGTTCCGACGCGCGGCCCCACCTCTTGGGGAGGGCGCTGCGGCCACCAGGGCAAACGCCGCCTCGGGCGCAGGGCTTGCTGTGGGGTTTGCCGCGGCGCCGGCGTCGTCTACTTGGGTCGCAGGACGCAGGGCTTGCAATGGGTTTGCCGTGGTGTCGGCGTCGTCCACTCTGGCGCGTCGAGAACAAGCGGCGCGGCGACAGATGCTCAGATCTACAGTCGACCAGCATAGTAAGGATGAGCAGCTTTCCAAGAATGCCCTTGCATCCTTTCCCTTCGGCCCATCTTTGGCCGCTTCTGCTGGCCGCGCCCCGCTTGCAAAGTATCGACATGGCCGCCCAAGGCCCTTGCATTCTTATCGTGCGCCCTCATGAAACGGGTCGACTGCAAGGCCCTGTCGGTGTACTTCCGCTTCGTGACTTGCGGCTTCGAGGCACGGCCACGCCCAGCACGCGGCCCAGGGACAGGGAGCCCGGCAGCGAGCCCGCCCCGCGCCTCCCGTGCTCCAGACGCCGGCGGCTGCCCCGTGGATGTCCCTGGCGAGCCTGCGCGGAAGCGTCCGCCTCGAGGAGCCGGGCGTCGGGCAGTGGCGGCAGAGCGGGAGCCTCGGGACGGGGGTCTCTGCAAAGGGGGGGTCAGCCAGAGCGCGGGATCCTGCAGGGCCAGGCTTGCATTGGCCTGGGCTGGCGTGCAGGATCCTGCAGGATCCTGCAGTGTCTTGCAGTGGCCCAGGTTTGCATGGACCCGGATCGGCAGATCCCCGAGAGTCCGCCTCAAGGAGCCGGGCATCGGGCAGCTACGGCAGTCCAATCCCCGCGGACATCTCCGCATGGCTAACCTGGCCAAGTGTCGCAAGAGTGGTTCCACGAGTCCGCACACTCAAAACAGTCGGGGGCGCATCTTGAATTACCAGCACCTGAACCCAGCCAAGTGCGACACCAAGGTGCCACGGTGCTCTCTGAGCTCGTACCGCCGGTTCCCATTCTTCCTTTTACGTTTTATTTTATTTTTGTGTTATTTTGTTTTGTTTTGTGCTCGACGGCAACCTCCAAGGGGTCGATTCGAGCCCAGTCTGCGCTGCTATAGCGCTCTTTCGACATATGCCTTGCCATCTTGCGCTGGCTTTTGATTCGGGCGAGACGTGGGCCGATAGCGGTCGGGGGGGCAGTGTGCGATACCATATGTTGGTGCTGAGTCTGCTTTTCGGCGCTTTCCCGGTCGTAGCCATTTTGTGGGCTGGAGCTCGCAGTGTAGTGTGAACCTTTAACGAGGCTAGAATGCAGCCTTTCGTCCACCGCGAACCCGAATCCTCCCCTCACTCCGTCCTCCCCTTCTTTTCTCTTCTGCTCCCCTTCTCGCCGCCTCCCTCTCCTCACCCTTCCATCCTCCTTCCCTCCTCTCCTCCTAGGTTGATACTACGCTTTGCGGTGCTCTTCTACGCCATGCCATGCCGTGCTCTACAATGCATCGCGTACCCTTTCGCGATCATTGCCCTGCTCGACATCCGACTGTGCGAGTAGAGAGGGGATCTACGCCATGGTAAGGGATGGGAGGGAGGGGTAGGATGTCAGATATGACGCGAGCGCACCTAGCTTGTCCTCTCCCCTCCTCCCCCCTCCCCTCCTCCCTCTCCCCTCCCCCCCCCCCTCCCCTCTGCCCCTCCTCCCCTGCAGCGCCCCGCGGCGCCCCCCCCCCCCCTCCCGCAGCGGCAGGAGCCCGCAGCCGGCCGGGCCAGAAGGAGCCCGGGCCGCCGCCGCCAGCTTGGGCTGGCCCCTGCCAGCGCAGACCCTCGCCGCCATGCCTCCGCAGACCCCCCCCCCGCGCGCTCCACCACAGAGCGCGGGGGGAGGTTTTCTGCCCTTTTCGGCCTGGGCTCTCGCCGGGCCCGGGGGCCATCGGCCAGGGGCTCGGGACGAGGCGCCCGTCCCAGGGAAGGTAAAACGACTCGAAGATCGGGACAAAATCGGATCGGGATAACTCGAAATCTCTGAGAATCGGCGGGTTTGGAGGATGTATTGGGCGCCGCGGCCGCTCCAGAGCGTTCCGGAACCCTCTGAGAGCGCTCCCGGAACGCTCTGGAGCGATTTATCCCGATCCTAGCCCTGTTTTGCAGACCCTCGCCGCCATCCCTCCGCAGACCTCCCCCCGCGCGCGCCCTGCCACAGAGCGCAAAGGGAGGCTTCCTGCCCTTGTCGGCCTGAGCTCTCACCGGGCCGGCCCCGGCATCCGCGCCCACGGCAGCTCTGTTCTTGGGACCCCCGGCCCCCCGATTTCTGGCCCAACAACGACCGAGACCCCCCTCCGGGCCCCGGCATCCGCACCCACGGCAGCTCTGTTCTTGGGACCCCCGACCCCACGATTTCTCGCCCCAAAACGACCGACAGGGGCCATCGGAAAGGGGCTCGGGACGAGGCGCCCGTCCCAGGGAAGGCGTGTCGAGACTTCCGGGGGGGTCCGCGCGGTGGAAAAACCATGACGTGGGGATTTGGACTTCCTTGTCAAGTAGCTCCTCCCCGTCGCGCCACCAGGCCGGTCCATAGGCAGGGCCCCCGCTCCCTCCTCCTCTTCCTCCTCCTCCTCCTCCTCTTCCTCCTCTTCCTCCGCCTCCTCCTCCTCCTCTTCCTCCGCCTCCTCTTCCTCCTCTTCCTCCTCCTCCTCCTCCTCCTCCTCCTCCTCTTCCTCCTCCTCCTCCTCTTCCTCCTCCTCCTCGTCCTCCTCCTCCTCCGCCTCCTCCTCCTCTGGCCCCCGACGCACTCGTCGGAGGCCCTTGATTCGGCCTTCTCCCACGGGCAGTCGCTGGCGGCAAGTCGTCGGCGCGCGGCGATCATGCTCGGGATGGCCCGCGACCTCGACGGAGCGCCCTGGGCCTGGGGGTAAGCCGCGCCAGTTCCTGCAGCAACCGTTGCTTCATCGCGGGCCGTCTCTGCGAGTGCGTCCTCTGCCAAAGGGAAAACAAGCACAAACACACACAGGAGTTCGGATCTTCTTGGCAATCGGGAAAATGCAAGACATGATGCGGGTGCTTCCGAGAGGCCCCCCAGCCTTCTGGGATGGTCCGCGCCGTCGTCGTCGTCGTTCTCCTCCTCCTCCTCCTCCTCCTCCTCGTCCTCCTCCTCCTCCTCCTCCTCCTCCTCCTGCTCCTCCTCCTTCTCCTCCTCCTCCTCCTCCTCCTCCTCCTCCTCCTCCTCCTCCTCCTCCCCCTCCTCCTCCTCCTCCTTCTCCTCCTTTTCATCCCGCTCCTCCTCTTCCTCCTCCTCCTGGACTGTGTGAAGATTTTTTTTGGGACCCTGGCCGGTGCATACGGGGCTGCCGCGTGGATGGGCCGCTTGCCGTTCTTGTCCGAGCAACTTTGTACTCCGCGTTTGTGTCCGTGTGTTTTTCAGGCGATCGCAAACATGGATTAAGTGGGCGTGAATTAGCGACGGGTCCTGTTTTCATGGGAAATTTCAGATTTCTGCCGCCGAACGAGGCGGCACCGGCCGCATTTTGGGTAGGGCACCGCTCCCGATCCATGGATTTGGCGACCGCGCTCCAAATCCATGGATCGCTAATCCATGTTTGCGCTCCCGAGTTTTTCCAGATTGTGAGCTCTTTCGACAGCGAGCGAGGGGGCGAAGTGAGAAGGATACGTTCTTCTCGGAAGGCGGCGGGGCTCCTCAGAAGCCCTCACCAGCCTTCTGAGAGGTTGTCTGTCTCTTCGGGGAAGGCGCAGAGCACTCTTCAGAAGGTTGGGGTATTTCCCAACCTTCTGAGAAGGCCCACTCCTTCTCACTTCCCCCCTGGGCTCGCCGCCGACGTTTGGCTCGCTCCAAGGATTGCGTCTGAATCTGCGTGCCCCCCTCGTTTTCGCAGTTCGAGAGTTTTTGTTGGGATCTCTGTGGTCGTCGACCGGGCGCCGTCGCCGTGGCCGCAGCTACCAGCGTGTTCGGCTCCGCGTTTCGGGTCTGTGCGAAGGATTTTGAGTTCGCCCGCGTGGGACGCTGTTGACAGCGGGGTGTGCCCAGAACGTGTTGTTCCGAAGCATTGCGACGAGCTGCGCCATCGATGGCGTTCAAGCTGGCGTGCGAATTTCGGCGGTGAGCCCGGTGGGGGAAGCGAAAAGGAGAGGGCCTTCCCAGAAGGCTCGCGAAGTCCCCGCGACCCTCTGAGAAGTTTCATGAGCTTCCCCCGAAGACGCGGAACACTTCTCAGAAGGCGCGAGGGCTTCTGAGAGGTACCGCCACATTCTGAGATGACTCGCAGGCGCTTTTTTTTCACCGAATCCCCGCGTTCCATCCGAACAGTTTGACCGTTCAAAAAAATGATGTGGGGGATCTCTGGGATACACCCCTGGGGGGCTGTTGGGACGCACCCTATATCGAGGATTGACGCTCCCCATCATATATCACAGGGTTGGGCCCCAAAATCCGAAAACCCCACGCATCCTGGGCTGGTGGCCCACATCGCTCTCTCTCTCTCTCTCTATATGCATCCCCTGTTCAAGGCCTTCTCCTTCTCGCTTCCCCCCTGGGCTCGCCGCCGAGAGTTGCTGCGCCATCGATGGCGTATGAGCTGGCGCGCGAGGTGGCGGCGCCGTGCGCAGGTGTGCCCGCGGCGCCGTCGGCTTCGCGCGGAAGACACGGTCGCGGCCTCGTCCGGTTCGCGCCGCTGGCAGCACACGCATTGCCCCCCTTGGGCGCGCGATATTTCCACAGCCCTCGCTATGTAGACGCGAACTCGCTGCTGGCCGCAGAACCTCCAGAGGGGACCGTCCAAAGTCTTGACTAGCAGAGGGTCGGTGTTATGGTCTAGTGTTAAGTCGGGCCCGTCCCTCTAGAAGAGGAATCTTCAAAAATAGTCAAAAATAGTCTGGGGACTGTGTTTTGAGTATGTTTTGGCCATCTGGGAGTATTTACTGTGTATTTTTATGTTTCGTCGAAAATCCCCCTCTGTAGGGGGACACGCCCGACCTAGGTCTAGTGCTGGTTCTCTGCCTCAAGACAGCTGCTTACGCGAGCGTCGCGAGTAGCAGCGTCGCGGGCACCACTCGTGGCAGTCTCGTCGGTCGGCGCGCCTCGTCGCCGCGCACCAGCGGGCAGCGGAGGTCGTCGGTGCGTCGGCAGGGGCAGCCGGCAGCGGCACAAGGGGGGTGCTCTGCAGCCATTCCGCCCGAGCTGCCCTCGCCGCGCGAGGCGCTTTTCTCTTCTTGTCTCGGTGGCCGCGCCGCGTCCTGCCGCTTTCGCGCCCCAAGAGAGCTGGTGGCCTCCCCGTGGCTCGCAGTCCTTCTCGAGCCTGACGCGTGGAGCAGCACTGAAGTCCGTCGACTGGCGGGTGGTGAGGGCGGGATGGTGAGGCGGGGGCGGAGGATCCCTCGTCCTCCGCCGCCTCATCCTCTTTTCTCGTCCCCTCGTTACCTCATCCTCTCATCCTCCTCTTTCCCTCCTCCCCTCCCCTCCCACTCATCACGGCTATAGCCTACCTGAATGCTGCATACACATCTTTCGCTCCTCTTACTACACGCGAGTCTGGGTTTACAAGGGGGCCCTGGTGTTATCAATGCCTGGTTGTTCTCCGCATGGCCTACCGTAGTTGTCTTGGGGTCAGGAACGTGTAGGAATGCAGGATTTGATGTGAGCAGGGCTCGTCTCGACCGGTTTCTAGCTACATTTGCATATCTTCCCGCAGCGGTTTTGCATACTGCGGCTCTCACATCGCACTAAAGCCAGGGAGCAGAACGGCCAGTGGTGTGGTGCAGGGCTCCTTGCTTCCTCCAGATGTTCCGTTCTCAGGCCAGCCGTGTTCCATTCATTGGCTCCTCTTCCTTTCCCTCCCCTTGCTCTCCATCTCTCTCTCTCTCTCTTGCCTCCTGCGCTGTTCACCCTTCCCTGCCCCTCCCTCCGCAGACTCTTGGCCCCGGGGGCCAGCACGAGCAAGGCCCAGACAGCGAGGCCGGACACGGGCTCCATCCGATCAGCGTCTGGGGGGGGGAACAGCCAACCCAGGAACCCAGGAACCAAGGAACCCAGGAACCCGCTGGACGCTGGAATCCAGGGACCCAAGAACCGTTGGACCCAGGAGCACTAAACGCAGGAACCCAAGAAGCCAGGAACCCAGGAACCCAGGAACCCAGTACCTGGGAACCCAGGAACCCAGGAACCCAGGAACCCAGGAACCGTGGAACGGGGGGGATGCATCGACACCCAAACGCCCAGCCATCGCCGACACATAGGGGCCCGATGGCCCGCTCAACCCCGGGAGCGCGCGGAGCCGCTATCCGGGGCCCCTCGCCGACCTGTCGGCGATGGCACCGCCGATTCCAGGCCGATGCTTCCGCTCTTGCCCCCGTGGTTCGCCACAGCCGCCCACCTCGCTCTGCCCCGGCGCGCCGGGCTGCTGCCGCCCGCCGGCTGCTCAGCGTCGGAGTCTTCGGCGTCTAAGCGTCCCTCCTTCCTCCCGTCGGCCTCCCCCCTCCCTCCCCTTGCATGCCGGCCAATTCGCTAGTTAGTGGCCCTACCTAGCTGTTACGCTGGTGCGGATTTCGCCGCCTCGCCGCTTACGAAAAAGTTCAGGCGCAGCGCTAGGGGGGCAAAAGGCTCAGTGAGCCCAAGGACGGCATGCCAGGGACGGGTATCCCCAGACCGGTGTGCATGCTGGGGACCGGTATCCCCAGAATGCCGGGGACAGGTACCCCCGGGATGCCAGGGACTGGGATCCCGGGGACGGCTGCGAACACCGACTTCCTCCCAACACACACACACATTATTCCTCGTACGAAACTGGTCGCTCTTGGGGTAACATCCTGAGAAATCCCAGGCCCCCCAAGATCGTCGCAGGGCGGCCCAGCAGGGCACTATACTATACGAGGGTCCCCCCCGAACGTTGCCCCCAGACATCAGGCCGCTCCGATGTTTTCGATGCGTGGGCCCCGGAGGCCCAGACCATTTCCTCGAGGGCGGGCTTGTCGCTCCGAGCCGGCTTTTGACGGCCACGAGGCCCGGCGAGGGCCCTTTAAGAAGGGGCCGTAGAAAATTACCCACAACCGGCTGCTCCCATTTTTCCGGAGCGATCGGATCTCTCCGGGGCAGCCGCTGGGGCCGTGGCCGCTCCCCCCGGCCGAGCGCACTTGCTGTGCCGGCGGCAAGGCAGGGGACGCCCGCGCTGGCGATGCATCGTGCCCGAGCGGGGACGCCGCTAGAGAGAGAGAGAGAGAGAGACTTGCGCCACCACGCAAGCGGAGGAGCGGGGGGAGGGCGCGGCCGAACGAGGGGCGGACGGAGCGACAGCGGCTCAGGGGGGACGGGCCGCTCTCCGAGCGGCGCCGCGGCCACCCGCCGAGAGCGCCCATGGCCGAGGCCGCGGCCGGGCGGCCCGGCCCGAGCCCGCCGGGCGCGCCCCTCGCCGCGGCGGCCCCGGCGCGCGCTGGGCCGCCGCGGGGCGCGGGCCGCCTCGAGGCGGCCCCGGGCAGGGGCGGCGGCGCCGGCGGGAGCTCGGGGGTGCACGCCGGCGGCACGGAGCCTGCGGCGGAGCCCCGAGGCCAGGCAGGGGCAACGCCAGGGGTGGGGGTGGGCAAGGTCGAGGTTCGAGGGTCGAGGTTTTTTCGGGCGTCTGCGTGGGCTTCTGGAGGTTTCCCTTCCTCGGGGTGCGTTCCAGCGGCTGTGACTCGCTTATGGGGCGCTCCGGGGGTGCCAGGATCGGCCCGAGCGGCCGCCAGAGAGCCGAGCCACGGCCCGAAAGCCGCCAGGCACAGGGATAGGCTCAGGAGAGGGATGCCTCGGCCCCCAAGCGCCCGTTGATCGCCGATAGGGGCCCGACAGCCCCAGCCTGCCCTGCGGGGTGCGGATGCACTATCAGGGGCCCATCGCCGATCTGTCGGCGGTGTGCCCAGAGATCCGCTGTCGTGGTTTTATTCATACGGGGTCCCCGGAAGTCTCGACCCGTTCCCCAGCACCGGTTTCTCATCCTGAGCCGTTTTCGACGGCCCCGCGGCCCTGCGAGGGCCCGCAGAGGCTGAAAATTACGAAAAACCGCCGCCTGGATTTTTTTCAAGAAGTCGGACCTCTGGGTATCGCCGATTCCAGGTCGATGTGTGCCCCCTGTGCCAGTCCCCCCCCCCTTTCGCCGCCCCGAGGCCAGAAGCGCGGCGCGCCGGCCTCGGCCGGCCTCGCGCCGCCCGGCGCGGGGCGCCGGCGCATGGGCATCTGCCCGGGCACGAGCGCCTACGACGACGCCGTGTTCGTGGGGCTCTCTGCGCTGTGCGTCGGCGCGTCCGGGAGCTCCGGCGGGGGGGAGGCCCACGAGGGCGGCGATGGCGGAGGCGCTGAGGGAGGCGTGGGCAGGGCGGAGGGTCACCAGGAGTCGCTGGCTGGGCGCTGCGACGCTGGGGACGGCCCGCCGCAGGCCGCTGCGGAGCCCCTGGGCGTCGACGGCGAGCAGGGAGCCGCACCGTCTTCACCGTCTTCCTGAGCATCGTCGGGGGGTGGTCTTCGAGGAGGCCCCCGCGTCGGCGCGCGCGAGCTTCGGGTTCCAGGTGTAGCGAGGCGCTCGAGCGCAGCTGCAGAATCACCGCGTGCAGCAATATTGATGGACACTTGCGTGCTGAACTACCTGTCGCTGGAGCTCTCTCACGCTGTCCTTGGACGTATGCCTGCTGGCGCATCAGCAGCATGAGCAAGCCAGAGCATCAGGCACTCGGCTCCGATTAGGAGTATCCAGTCCGCGTCAGGTGCCAATGGATGTGGTAGGCATGCCAGCATTGAGCGCATTGAGCTCGATATTGTTGACTGGGCACACGCTCTGGCTGCAGTTCACAGTTTGAGCTCTGCTCGTTTGCAGGCGCTTCGATGCCACAAGGCCGCGTAGGTACGCAATCGATGCTTCTTGACGTCGTCAAGTCGCAGAATCGTGCCGGAATGCCGACGTGAGTACTGCTTTGACGATGATTTCATAACCTATCGTGATCGCCAGTAGTTGTTGCATGATTTTTCATCTGTCCCTCGTCGGCCTCTCCACTTATTCCTCGTCCTTCTCAACACTTCTTCGAAGTGGATATGCTTTCAGCAGCACTGATAGCAAGCGCCGCAAGAAGGGTCAGCCATTGCAATAGGAATTTATAATAATTGCAACGACGATGACACTGATACCGATAATGATTACACCTCTTGACGCTTTGCGAATCCCCCACCAGCCCATCATTCAACAGACACTCTAGCGAAGTGTACCGGCTATCGGGATTTTTCAGTCAGCTTTCCAGCAACGATGCTCAGAGGAGTTGCTTCGATCAGGGGAAAGTGGAAGCACATAGAGAAGCAAAGGACGGGTGATGCCGTCATACCACAAGAGTGGAATATGGAGGAGGAATTGGAGGAGGGGGAGGATGTGGGGGAGGGGGAGGAAGGAGGAGGAAGAGGAGGAGAGGAGGAAGAGGAGGAGGAGGAAGAGGAGGAAGATGAGGAGGAGGAGAGGAGGAGGAGAGGAGGAGGAGAGAGGAGGAGGAGGAGGAGGAGGAGGAGGAGGAGGAAGAGGAAGAGGAGGATGACGAGGAGGAGGAGGAGGATAAGAGCGAGGAGGGGGGAGGGAGGATGAGAACGTGGAGAAGGACGGAGAGGAGGTCGAATGGGGAAGGAGGAAGGAATGAAGGAGGCGGAACAGGCGGATGATGATGATGATGCTGCTGCTGCTGCTGCTGATGATGATGATGATGATGATGATGATGATGATGATGATGATGATACTGATGATGCTGATGATAATAATGATGATGATGATGACGGGGAGGAGGAGGAGGAGGAGGAGGAGGAGGAGGATCAGTGTAAACTCAAGAGTCATCAAAGATGTTGGAAGAACTCCCTCCAAGCTCCCTCTTCATATGCCCATACAGCGGTGCATTACAGTTCAGGGAATTGCCTCGTTGGAAGACAACTGTAGAGGAGGACGAGGGCGAGCAGAAGAGTCGGAAACCTTTTGAATGCGATACCCCTCGGAGACTCTTTCGGATTTATTTTGTAAAACATTTGGATGCCTCTTGGGGCGTCTCCGCAGGGGGCCTCTTGGCGGGCCCAGGGGCTTCTTCGAGCGCCTGGGGTGCCTCGGAGATTCTCTTGAGGCCTCTTGGGGGCCTCTTGGGAGCCTCTTGGAGGCCTCTTGGGCGCCTCTTGGGGCTGCCTGGGCGCCTCCTGGGACCCTCCTGGGCCGCTCTTGGGAGCTCGGGGGGAGCTCTTGGGGCCATCTTGGGGGACATCGGTCAAGCAAGAGGGGAGCTCCAAGTAGCCTTACCCCTCGGGGGCACCGAACAACGCTTCCTGGATCCCTCCTGGACCGCTCTTGGGGCGCTCTTGGGCGCTCTGGGGGCCGTCTTGGAGCTCTCTTGGGCCTCTCCTGGGGCTCCCTTGAGCCATCTTAGAACCATTTTGGGGCCTCGGATGACCATCGGAAGCGAAACGACGAGAAAGCAACACTCATTGCTTTTTCCATAGGTTTCTGAGTGGCTTTGGCTTCTTGGGTGCCTCCTTGGAGGTCTCGGACGCCTCTTGTAGCCGTCTTGGAACGTTCTTGGGGCCTCGTAGAGCATCTTGGGAGCCATTTCGAGGCATCGTGCGCTATCTTGAGCCACTTTGGAGCTCATCTTGGGCCCTCAGGGGCCCTCTTGGAGCCGTCTTGGGCCATCTTGGACGCTCCAACGCCAGGGGACGCGCACCCCAGCCGCGCCAGGGGCGCCACGTGCGGGGCACGTGCAGAGTGCGTCAGGTGCGCCTGCGCATGTGACAGAACGCATCGGGAGAGACACGTCGCCCCCCGCCATCCTTGTCGAAGACCGGTGCCCAGCATCGTGCCTGGTGGGCCCGCGCACAGCACGCCACGCGCCCCCCCCCCCCGCCGTCCCCTTCAACGGCCACTTGATCGTGATCGCGGGATGGCCGCGCGTGATCCCGATTTAGCCGCGAGGTGCATCTTGTATCATGTTTTTTTCTTTGGTCAGGGCTTGTAGCCCTGCGCACAGCAGGGGATATGCTGACACCACCGCCGTCCTTGTCAGAAACGATACAGAGTGCTCGCGGGCCTCATGAACATGACTCAAGACTTTGTCCCACATCGTAAGTTGTATTGTTTTTGAGGGAATGGTGTGGGGGGCCGCATCGGGTCGGCCACGCATGCTCCACATGTGGAGGCATAGTGCGTGTTGTATTGTTTGTTGGCAGGGATGGTGGGGTGTGTGGCCCTCATGGGGTTGGCATGGTTCTGGGTTGGCCGCCGGCCGGGTGGGGGGGGAGATGTATTTTAATAGGGACCAGTGGCAAACCCTTCCCCGAAGGGGAAGGAGAGGGTTGGAGGAGGAGCCGCCCTAGACCACCTACGCCCAGAGGGCTGGTGGGATCTCACGCAATACTCATATTGACGAGTCGCAGCAGGAACAGTAGCGCTTTCCTTCAGCATCGTGCGCAATACCAGCAATAACAACTAACACAACGAATGCGGTAAAGACAGCGACATCGATGCCAACAGTAGTGATGCCATTTGCGATGGCGGTGCCAGTAAAGAGCATCATGCACCTCCACCCGCCCACATGCAAACACATATGTCTGACCTAGTGTGTATGTGTACCACAGTGAAGCTAGCGGCACGCAATACCTCAAGGGCACTCTGGGAGAACCGAATCTGGGAAGCGTGGCCCTGCAGCGCGGCCGCAGCTCAGCGCAACACGGCAGGTGTGGACAAGGGGAGGATCCGGCAGGACGGATGTTCGCTTTGGAGCGCCGCCTCCGGGGGTTTTGGCCTGCCCCCGGGCCAGCGAACGGCGCCCCCGCCGGAGAGGACAGCGGCAGCTCGCGACCGTCGGCCCCGCGCAGGCGCCTGTAGCGCCAGGCCCTCAGCAGAGGGCATCGCTGGTTCTGATCAGCGTGGCTCTGCGCCCGAGCGTTCGTGCGCTTCGCGCGCACCACTCCCACTCCAGCCCGGCCCCGTCGATCGAGCGGATCGGACCAGTGGTTTGGCCGGGGTCAGGGTCCAGTCGATGTCCGGAGGGGTCTCATTGAAAGGCAATGTAGGCGCGACAGCAAAAGCAGGGACGATCTGATGTTTCTCAGTCAGCCCGGAGCCGGACTGACGTCCAGCTGGTTCAGTTGGGGTCGGTTGGGTCCATTGCCGATATGAGGGCGGTCTGTGGCGGGGCTCCAATCTTCCGCACCTGTTCATGTTTTTCGAGTTGCAGCCGGGTGTCACGTTTTTGCTGTCGACCTCACCACACGGGCTGCTCGATGGGTTCGTGAGGTTGTGAAGCCTTGGTGATTGTCAGTCTTCGTGCTCCGCGCGGCTGCTAGCATACGTGGGCCTCTGTCGGGCTCTGCTCGCCGTTCTTGACTTCTTCTCGTCCTCGCGGCTGGGCTCGCCATGCACATTCTGTTCCTGTGCTGCACTCTCTGTCTCTGATCTCCCTCTGGGACTCCCCTCCACCCTCCCAGCCAGCGATGTGCGTTGGCACCGAGCGGCCGCAGAGGGCTGGCTTGTAGGGATCCCACCCACTCAGCGGCCTTTCGCGCCGCTTTCCCCCCCAGGAGGAGAGTCCAGCATGAGAGGAGGAGGAGGAGGAGGAGGAGGAGGAGGAGGAGGAGGAGAGCGGAGGAGAAGCAGGAGGAGGAGGAGGAGGAGGAGGAGGAGGAGGAGGAGGAGGAGGAGGAGGAGGAGAGGAGGAGGAGGCGGAGGAGGAGGAAGGAGGAGGAGGAGGAGGAGGAGGAGGAGGAGGGGGGAGGAGAGGAGGAGGAGAGGAGGAGAAGGGGGAGGAGGAGGGGAAGAGGAGGATGAGGAGGAGGAGGAGGAGGAGGAGGAGGAGGAGAGTATGAGGAGGAGGAGGAGGAGGAGGAGGAGGAGGAGAAAACCTCCGAGGCGCGGCTCCACTTCCGTGTTCGACTGTCTGGACAACACGGGGGGGTCCTATCAGGTGTTTCACAAGCAGCCGGTGGAGATGACGACATCGTTGCAGGCTGCGGCTCGCGTTTTGAGTGCCTATTGAATGTCACCTGGGCGGATCCATTCACGTAGCTTGCTGGCGGTAAGAACTCAACGTGTGAGCAGTTGTACGAGTGTTACATGCGTTTGACTTTCTGACGCTGTTGTTCCGAGTCCGTCCTGTCAAACTCTATTTCGTCGGGGGTAGTCCGCGAATCAACGTTGTGACAACATCGGGCATCTGTAACCCATAGGGCAGTCCTCCTAGTCGTGCGCGGCACATCGTAAAGCGTCTGTCTGCGTGGCCGCTCTTGGGAGCTATCCGTGTAGATGGGGCAATTGTTGAATGCATGCTAGAGGCCCACCTCCTGGTGCACGGTCTTTGCGCGCATCATGACCAGACAAATAATATCCGCGTGCTTCCGCATGCTGTTTTCGAGGTCTTGTGGTTGCCTATCCCCATTCTTCCCTTCGAACAGACAAACATATCCCTACTCCCTGTCGTCCTCCCCCTGTCCCCGTTATCTTTCCATCGAGACATTAGTGGGCATCGTCAGTTCGTCTAAACAATCATGGATATCATTAAGGTGCATGCTCTTCTCGGTGCTGCCAGAGCGTGGCTACGTGACCACGGCTGAGGTAGGTAGATTTACAAAGGGCGCTGTCGGGACTTGTGTTGGGACCTGTTCTGATAATATGAGTCCCAACACACAACACCACGAGTGTTGGTGAACCTGTGCACTCCGTCGTCTGCGGTGCCAGCTTGTTCTGCACTGTTCGCGTCTGATTGTGCTATGCTACTGACCTGTCCGGCCAGCTTGGCATTGCTTTGGTCCTCTCGACGAGTGGAGGCGATCGTCTTTCAAAACTGATGCGTACTTTCACGAGATCCATAGCGTACCTCTATCGCTGATCACTGCAGGGGTTGCCTGGAGCGACGTTTCCAGTTCCCATGTGCTTTCCATGTGGTGATAGGCACAGCCGGTGCATCCCCTCCTCCTTGTCCCCTTCTCCGTCCGTTCTCCCCTATCCCACCTGCTTTCGTTTGTCATCCCCCCATCCATCTCTCGATGTGTCTCTTCTCATACAAGCATGCATCGTTGATCCCGCCCCTGTGGAGGCTGAGCCCACCGGGGTGTGGATCCAGGGCAGGCGGAATGATCCCAACCAGTCCCTGGCAGACGCCATCACCAGCGCGCCC